AATAGTAACATAAACCAAATTTAAATAATAAAAATCATATAATAAAATAAATTAGTATATTTAATATTTATAGTATGCAACTAGTGATAAGGTGATAGGGTGATATTTTAAAACAAAAAACTCATTATCTATATTCCATGTCACTCATGTTTATTTATTTAAAATACCTAATTAAAATGTCAACCATCAGTATCTATTATGTTACACCCAAGAATAGAAATAACATAAATTATGAAATAGACAAATTTAAATTCTTATATTTATGTTTATAAATGCTATAAGTAAGGCTGTGCGTTTTTAAGAAAATGCTTTCTTTTAAGCTTATTGTAAGTCATAGCTTTCTTGAAACAAAGTTTGAATGGCTATCATATAGTATGCAAACCGGTCATCGTGTTTTACTGGCTGTTATTATATGCTATAGGATGTGGTCTACCTGCAGCCTGCCAGTTTTTCACAGCCTTATCTTTGATAGATACAGTTTAATCTCTTTTCATTGATTAACACTTTATCTTCATGACCCTATACTTTATGACTTTCAATAACAATGCTTTCATAAAAGTACCTATAGACTCAGGTCTCAGGCGCTCAGTATGTCACTTATTAGGACGACTTACAATTTATTCTACATATTATTTTGGCACTCGTGCAGTCACGCACTTAATATTATGTTGACAAAACATTTTTATTTAATCATAAGTAGTGATGAATCATTAGAATCTACCACCAATTTTTAATTAATAAAAATGTTTTGGCAAACAATATATATTCCTAATGGCTAATTATTGTATTATGTATGAAGTGAGATGAATTTGTATAGAAGAAGAGGGGCAAAGAAAGGAGTGTCTTACACTACAAATGAAGGTATATCTGTTTGTGGAATGATACTATTAGATTTTAAAGAATTAAAAGACCACATACAGTAGAAACTCAATTAACCATCACTCTTTCAACAGTCACAATCTGTTATCCTTCATCTTCTAAAAAACAGTATATGCAACACAGGTATTACTTCTCTGAAAAATACAGTACATTTCTGCTCAAAAATCTCAAGCCTCGAAGATGACGGATGATTTTGAATAGTATGTATTTTTGTATTATTTTTGTATGAAAATATGTACACACGTTGTAAATATATACATTTATGGCTGATTTCCCTGCTAAGCATCAATTCTGTTAACCATCAAAATTCCGGTCCGGACAGTGACGGTTTATCGAGTTTCTACTGTACTATATTTGTAAATAGCTGCTAGACCGCGTACTACATGAGTTAAATTAGGTACCACCAAATCCAATTTTTAAACTTTAATTTTGAAACTGTTTGAATTGTGTAGCTCAAAATTAAGCATTTTTATGTATTTGTTTTTTATTAATTTTTTTCTATATTTTTAATAATTATTCTTGATAAATATGTTTTAAATCTTACACGTACTTTATGATTTTTGTCTCACAAATGTTGTAAAATAAGGCCGGACTACTATTTATTTTTTTATGGGGTTTCATAAATTTTGTATTTGCTTGGTGTATTCTTGGTAGGGAGTCAGCAAAGTATTTATCGAAATATTTAACCGTAGGTAATTTTCAGGCGCAATTTTTTTTACAGGACCCAAGGCTGTTTATTATGGGGCCTTTTAAAAAAAAACTGATCCATGGACCTTTGGTGGCCAGGCTGACACTGTTAAGATGTATCCTATAAATATGAACTTATAATTATGTTAAATGTAATACTAATTAAAAACATACCATCATCATTTTCTGCGGGATTCATTTTTGTAATTTCAGTGTCTTTATGTATTACATTGTTGTCATATACATTGGAGTGTATTACCTAAAAAATTATATAAAATATCTTTTACTAAGTCAATTATGATTAAAATAATTGATTTCATAAAACAGTAACATGCTGTGGCATAATGTTTTATGAAGCAATTTAATCTACGTAACAATTTATGAATTAGGTATAAGTTAAGTGGTCAGTAGGTACTAATATAATACCAAATCAATATAATTAAAATATTAAAACATAACCACTTAACAACCAGCAAAAAGACATGTTCTTAATAAAATGTTGATGAATAATAAAAAAATATTCAAATTTCTTTTGATATAAAATAATTATTTTTAATTACTTATAGGAATATGAATTAGCCATAATAATAATTTGGTACTATCATAAACTAAAAACAATTTGGTTAATTTTTTGTTAAAATACCGGAGTCAAGAACCATAGTTGGGGTGTGGCGATTGCACAGGTTAATATGGATCGTGCGATGCTATAAATATAACTTGGGGAAAAATCACTTAGTATAATATGCCCTGAAAATGAAATAAGCCTACATTATAAAATATATAACGAATGCAATTTACCAGAAATCTTAATAATAATTGATTTCTTTTTTTGTAATTGATGCTATGGAATGTAATGTTTTAAAAACTACAAAAATAGTATATGATAAATTGCATTCATACTTTATTAATAATTTATAAATATTTTTTTTAAATGTTAAGCTAGAATAATAAATCATAATTGGCTCACCTCATTACTTATTTGTAAGTTATTCATTGCAAGTTGAAGTGATTCATTCTGGAAAGATTCTGGTGGAAGAATTTCACTATTCTCAACATCAGCCCAGAAATTATCTTCAGTTTCATTAATATTGTCACTTTTCTTATTATCAGTATGTTGATTAACAAATGTATTTTGGACATTGGTTATTTGTTCAAATTGACTTTCAGGTCTTTCGAACCCATTATTAACAGGAAAGGAATGTTGTTCATCTTCAATTCCATTTTTATAATTATAGGTCGGCCTATTAGAATTAACTAGAGAATAAGCTGTTCCATTATGAGTGTCTGGAGCAGAATATCTATTCTGAGTTAAATCTGGATTTAAAGTAGAATTAAACTTTTGTTGATTAGTGTTTTTATTAGTTGAAGACTGATCAATATAATTCCAATCATCTGTACTGCAGCTCCATTCGTCATTTGGTTGTGAATGTTCAGCCTATAAGACAAAATTTTAAATACATTTTGTCAAAACAAACAATGAAAGATGAAAATAGCAAACAACACTTACTGGTTGCTGTTGCAAATTTGAATACAAATCCAAATTACCCCAAAAGTTATTGTTGGACATATTCTATACTCGAAGTCTACGCTCTAATTTCAAATAGATTTCAATTAAAAGTTTAGCTTATCTATTTGCAAATAATCGAGAGGTTGATACCATTATAAATGAATAATGATACTTAGACCTCAAAAACGGTCAACTAATCTTACCCTTAGAGTTGAAGATTTCTATTTTCACTGTACACTGTATAATTTAATCCATAATATACACGATTACAAACTACCTAGAGTAGAAATATTCAAAATATTCCATTACTTTCACAAATCCATAAAAAGTTGAATCGTTCACGTCACTGAAAAAATTGATATGCAAAGTAGTAAGTATAATATTAGGCCATTAGGGTTAGACGAAGACCAAGAGCCCAGACACAGTGCAACCATACCTGTATTAAATATGATATTGTAATATTGTACACAACTATTGTATAGTATGGCGGCTATTTGTGAATGGCCAAACCTGCCATAATCCTATAAAAAACAATATTATAATACTAATATACTATAATACGCATGGGCGGACCCAGGGGGGGTTTGGGAGTTCAGCTGACCCGAAATTTTTTCCCAGTTAAATGTGGCCCCTCGAAATGGCAAACTACATAATCATTTTTTTATTTAAATAAATTATGAATAATGATCAATAATAAAATAATATTAAATTATAATAAATTATAAATTATAAAATGTATACAGGCTCAAGAATGTTTCCATACAAATATAATTATAAAAGTAGGTATACTGGGGTAGCGGATTTTTTTCAGGGGATTTTTATTCCTCTATTACCTATCTCTATGTTATAGTTCAGTCTTCAGTGCATAGGTAGGTATACTGTACAATTATGCGTAATAATCTTTCCAAGTACAAAATAATTTAAATCATACCGACATAAATTATTATTTGTTTCCATAAAACGAATACAAGCATACAGTTTATGATATTTACCATATTTATCATAGGAAATATAAAATAAAAGTTTAAATAAAAATTCAAATAATTACCAACATTTTTTCCAAACAAAAAAAATAAGAAAAACAGTTTAGTTTTTAAAGATTTGTTAATATTTTATGAAAGAATTGAATAATTTATTTTGAGGGGGCTATTACAAGTTTGGGGGGCTAAGACCCCCCCTAGTTGCGCTTATGCTTGAGAGCATAGTAAACTGAACAAACAATAATAGTGCCCTCTATTGATCTAAACATTTACTTAGGAAATGTCTGCGATTCATTTTTAAACGGATGAAGTAGTAAGTACCTAATATTTATGTTAACTTGTAGAAAAAAATATAGAATAGAAGTAACCTATACATGGCTACATCATAGATCATCTATCTATGTATTGTTTATTGTAATCAAAACATGTAAGTTTCCGTTCATGTAATTTGTCAATTGTATTATACCTTATATTCAAAGGGCTCAAGCCCGTTAAATCAATTAAATAAATAAATAAATAATGGTTCATTAGTTGATCATAGATGTATTATTAATATAAATATTATGTAAATTCATTTTAATTGAACATTTTCCCCCGAGTGAGTAAGTTAAAGAGTAAAGACTTATAATATAGTTATAAGTTATATATATATTATATTATTATAAGTCTATGGTTATAACTTACAATTACGTTGGTAGGAGATACAATATTTTTTATACCGTACCGAGTGAATGAGATAACACTAACAGAGTTACGTGTCAAAAGGTATTATGATTATCGCGAAATCGACGTTGATAACACCGATTGGATAACAAATAATTCCAACAATCCAACACGTACCTACATTTCATATATTCATTCAATTTAAAAATTTTAAATACATTTATTGTACCAATAGTAGTTTACATTGTGTTTGTATTCTGCGAGTGATTTATTTACTTCTAAATATGGTTTTGTTAACTATGATAGCAAGAATTCCTGACGGATTACCATTAGCTGCATCTATGCAAGATGACGAACAGGTATTTTTTAAGAACCATTTAGAATATATTATAATGAATTAGTTTCATCAATGATTTGTTGAAAAAACAATAATGTGACGGTTTTTAATTCTTCGTTTCTTATACAGGTCGGGAGAAAACTAATTGAGTATCAAAATCAAGCAAAACTTCTTTTTAAAAAATTAAACTTTCAGTCTCCTAAACAGTGCACAATTGAATCTGTACCATATTACTTTCAGTAAGTATGATACAAATATTATATATTTATTTTGAAATGTCAATGCAATAATATGAAATATTTTTATGTAAGCTATTTAATTGAAAGAGATGTTTGTTACTTGGTATTGTGTGAAAAAAACTTCTCAAAACGTTCTGCATTCAGTTTTCTGGAAGACATAGCAGCCGAATTCAATAAGCTGTACGGACGACAAGTATCAACAGTTTCAAGGCCTTACACACTAATTGAATTTGGTAATTCATTATGATTTTATGTATCCGAGTACAGTCAAATCTTGGTAACTTATAAGTTTAAAGCAGATTAAAAAAATTGAAATTATTTAGAGTTGATTACTTGACTGTACTGATATTATTATCTTCATTGAAATTTTAATATTATTTTAAATACCTATATTAATATATTACAAACTGTTAATAAATACATCAGTTAAACATCTTGATTATTTTAGATAATTACATTCAAAAAGCAAAGAAAAATTATATAGACTCTAGAGTACGAAGAAATCTAAATTCATTAAATAATGAACTTCAAGATGTACAAAGAATAATGGTTCAAAATATTGATGATGTATTACAAAGGGGCACTGTTTTATCAGGTAATATATTTTAATGTTTTAGTTTAGTCTACTTTTTCATATTGTTAGATATAATATACTGTTAGAAAATAAATCCTAAAAATTAATTAAAAGATGGATTTAACTAATTAATAGTGGCAAGTGTGAATAGTGAAAAAAAGTTTGTTTTTAAAGGAAGTAGAACTAAAATATATATATACAGTATGTATAAATCCAACTTAATTTTTTTCAATAATAATATCATATTAAAATATATTTTATAACTTAAATATTATGAGATTATAATATAATCAAAGTTCGATATATATATAATTTAATAATAATAATAAAAATAAAATTCCATCAATGAGATATTCAAGACAATTTTACAAGAATCAGCATTTAATAACTTTAAATTGTTGTAATATATCCTGAACTGCATAAAAACTATTTTGACATTAATTTATATTTATAATAACTCAATATACTAGAGTACCTAATTATTTGTTTTTGTTTGTATAAATCCAATATTCAGCATTTCTTAACTTGATTTGATTTATTTAAAATTTTTGGAATATGGAATTCTATTCATTAATTTCATTATAGCAATCTATATAACAAAACAATGTTTATGAATTAGATTATACAGTAACAATGAATAGATATAGTAACTTAATTAAAATACAAAATGTACCAAACAATTTAATTTATTTAAAATACAAAGGTACCAAACAATCTTATATATTTAAAATACATTTCAATTACATGATAAATACAGAAGGAGAGATACAATTCTTGAGTTTAAATATTATAGAAATAATTCATTAATACTATTAAATGCATGTTATATTACATGGATTTTATCAAATGAGTTACAATATTTGTATTATATTTTTCAGAACTTGATACAAAAGCACAAAATTTATCCATATTATCAAAAAAATACAAAAAAGAAGCTACCAATCTCAACCTTAAATCAATGTACATAAAACTAACCGTTGCAGCAGTTTTTGTTATTTTATTATTTTTATATTTTTATGTTCTATAAATATTAACAAATAAGTAATTTATTCAATACTAAATAATATTGGCCGGGGGGAAATTATTTTAAAAACTTTTTACCTATTAAAATAAATAAACAAAAACTCTTAGAACCTACTTTTTATTTATAATTTGATGTATAATATTCTTCTTCGAGTTCATATAGTTCTGTTGACATATCATCAACTAGACTTGTTAGTTTGCGATCGCATTCCACTTGTTTGGTGCGAAAAAGTTTGGAATTTTGAGCAATGGCTTCATTGACTGATGGAAAATCATTCAATATAAGATATTGTTTCATATCTGAAACTAGTTTCAAAAGCGATTCACCAGCACGAACGATGTTGGCTGCTCTGACTTCCATTTCAAATGCTATCAATTCGCTTCGAGTAGCTTTAGAAATTTGTGTTTGATCATCATCAGTCTTGCATAGTTTTACTATACCTAAAAATATGAAATAAAATCTTTAAATTATATTTTATTTGATTTTATAATTTCAAAAGCAACTGTTACATGATAGCTATAATACTAAAATAGATAAAATACTACACACAATACACAAAAAGTTCTAAACGAAGAAAACTGTTGGATCAGTCTCTATTGCTACAGAAAGTATAAGAATGTACCTTTACATATACTACATTATTACACTTTAATTATTATTAGTTGTGTCTAAATTTAATAGGTTAAATTAATATTTGTTAATACTTTGGAATGTTATGAATAATTTCTTTGTGAAAATTACTAAAAATTTCAAAATGTAATTGAGTATGTAAGTATTTCATGGTGGAAAATTTCAAGTCTTTGCAATCAACAATATAACTAAATAAAAATATATAAAAATTTCAAATATCTAACTATATTTAAACATATAGCTAACATTTAGCCAAAATATTTGGAAAATTATATTACGTCTAAAAAAAAGTTAATAGTTAGAACTCCTGCAGTTTTTCCCAGTTATTAAGAAAGGTACAATGTACAATATAGTACAAGTATTTAGTACGCCTTCCCCCTTCTAAGTACAATGCTTCAAGAAACCATCATTATTGAAGATAGGAGCACATTTCCTGCTCAAAAATATCATTCAAAAAATATTAATAAAAAAAAACCATGATTGTTGGGTATACATTCACATACTTAGCTCAATATCTGAAATTGTGAAACAAGATGTGAGTTACCAAATAATAATAATAAAATGTTCTTCTCTGTATTATCTGTTTAAAAAATAAATATAGAACTAGCTTGTGCAATAATTCAAAGAAATGTAGATATTGATATAAACTTTTAATTGAAGATTTTCTTATTAAATTAAAACGGATTTTGAATTGTGAACATAATTTACCTTCAAAATTTTCCAGCATACATTTCACATCACTTTTTAACCGATTTGTATAAGACTTGGTGACAGACATTGAAGTAGACATATATAATTAAATAAACACCTACAACAGATAAAATACAATTATAACTGAACAGTTAAACTTCCCAGAAACATTACTTGAACAATTTCAATTTATATAATAAAAATTAATAAAAGCTAAATACAAGTATTACCAATTGAATATTTAATATAGCATTCAATTAAATTATAATGCCTGGCGTCTGAATAAAATAATACAAATTATTAAAGGTTTAGTCTATACTTAATAAATAGAATATAGATTAGTTTATTATAATATAATTATAAAAGTATTATATTGTATGTAATAACTAATAAAAAATATTATGTTTATGATTTATACCATGTAGTACAAAAATATGTTGATTGTTGATAATATTATCTCAAGACACAAGTGTTATCAGAGAATTTGTAGCGTTAGAGTATTTTCCTCCATGATTAAAATTTGTTCCTTTTAGTTTTTTCTTCTGAGAGTTAAGAACACACAGCGCTGTTTGGCAGTATGTCAATATAACCTATAATTTACTAATGTTCTTCTCGAACCGAAGTCTCTACGAGTTTCGTCCATTCAGTTTCTTTTGCGATTATTCGCATTTATATCCTCGTTTATCTGGTTGATCGTTTGGTTTTTTGTCATCATGGCTCCAAAGAAGGTAGTTGTACTATATTTTAAATATAATTCATGTTTGCGTAGTTTTAAATTAAATATTATACTTCTTATTAATCATTTCCTATGTGCATAAACTAAAACCCTGCGTCCAGAACACAACTGTGTTATTTAGATGACTAGAACAGCTTTGTTACTTTTAGATTAATATCATTGTTTTCTTTTATTTAACTTGTATATTTTAATTTTTAAATATAAATATTAGTCTGACATTAACATGACATTTCATTCCAGCCAAGCTCCAGTAAAAAGGTGGGAAAGAAAGCAAAGATCGCCCCAGCACCTCTCGTCAGTGAGAAACCGAAAAAAGTTCTTAAACAGAAGGTTGTTAACCCTTTGTTTGAAAAAAGACCAAGGAACTTTGGAATTGGTAAGTCTATTTTTATTTTTTTATTACATTAAAAAAATATCAATCCAGGTATAAAATATATGTATAATTGATATAAAAAAAAATGTAATCGCAATGATGCTTGAATTTCTTCACCTGAGTTAAAATTTATTCTACTTGGTAGTTTTTATTAAAAATAATGCTGTAAATGACATACTGAGCGAAATTGGTTTCAATATTTTATTTTTCGTGTTGGATACTTCAGCTTGATGTATTATTAATTATAACCAATTCAATTTATCATTCGTTTTATTTAGAATATAGTTTGTTTAAGTAGTTATATTGAGATAAATGAAAGTACTTTCTTATTTTAGTGTGTATATTGTAAAGTATTCAAAAAGAAGGAAAAATAATAACCTAAATTACATAATAATTATAACTATTATTAAAATTATATTTTGTATTTTCAATTAGCTATATTTAATAAGTTAATTTATTAAAATATACATTTACCTTGGCCATGATGCTTGAATTTCTTCAACGGAACTTTTCATACAACTAAAGTATGTTGAGAGTAATGTTGAAAATGACATTCTGAGCTTGAATGTTTTATTAAATACATTAACCTTGGCCGTGATGCTTGAATTTCTTCAACGGAACTTTTCATACAATTAAAGTATGTTGAGAGTAATGTTGAAAATGACATTCTGAGCTTAAATGTTCTAAAATTGTTGAATGATGAGTTGTTTTATTAATTGATTTACAATGATAATCAAATACACATTACGAGCTTTTTAACTCTGACAAATCTTAACTTACCTATATTCAATTTGTTTTTTCTAATATTCACTATTATCAATCCAAAACTTAGAGTTCATTTTCCAATGCCAACATAATTGCTGCTAATCATATTGTATAAAGTTACCTCTATCCGAAGACATTTTTCTTAACAAATATAATATAAAAACATAGATGTATGATGTATTCATGTAAGTTTTCATGAAATGATAGGTACTATAAATAGGTAATTGCAACAAAAAAACATGCTAAATGGCGCAATTGGCATCATCTATAGTGAATGTATTAAATTAATTTTAAATATTTGTATACATTTAATTGAGAACTTTGCTATGATGTTAAATATTTATGTTGAACAATTTTATGAAAATACATTTTATGAGCTTTTTAACACTGAGCAAAAGAATATATAGATGGTAAAGTACTATGACAACAGACAATTGCATTCTTATATGTACCTACATGTAAAGGAATTGTTTTTTTATTTATTTCTGTAACGCAAATATTGCCATGATGAGTTACATAATTATTGACAGAATCTATGAGAGTATAATTTATGAGCTTTTTAACACTGAGCAATTTAGCTACGAACATAGTTGTGTATATACATACTGTTTTAAAAAATACAATTCTGTGATTCTAATTTTATTTTTATGTTGATACCCAAGTTCAAATAATATAAATTCTTAATTAATTTTAGGTCAGGATATTCAACCCAAAAGAGACTTAAGTCGTTTTGTTAAATGGCCAAATTACATTCGTATTCAACGTCAAAAGTCTGTTCTTCAAAGAAGGCTCAAAATTCCTCCACCAATCAATCAATTCTCATATGCCGCCGATAAAGCTACTGGTAAGCACAGAATCGACGTTTAAGATTAATATTTAAAACTTTTTGACAATATATTATATACATTTTTTAGTAACTCAGTTATTCAAACTGATGGAAAAATACAGACCTGAAACAGCTGCTATGAAAAAGAGGAGATTGCAGGTAATTTTTAAACTATTTAAGATGTAAAAATTATTTATTTTTGTTCATAACATTTTCTTTTATGTACTTAAATAGAAAAGAGCTGAAGATAAAATAGAAGCAAAGGAAGATACACCAACAAAGCGCCCAAATGTTATTCGTCAAGGAATCAATACAGTTGTAAACCTTGTTGAACAAAAAAAAGCGCAATTAGTTATCATTGCTCATGATGTGGATCCTTTGGAGGTTCTTATTTTAGCATTTAAAAAAATTGATAACCTGTTATTCATTATAATTTTTCGTATAGTTGGTAATATATCTGCCAGCATTATGCCGCAAAATGGGAGTCCCTTACTGCATCATTAAAGGCAAATGGAGGTTGGGAAACCTTGTTCGTCGTAAGAACTGTACTGCTTTGGCTATTACCCAAGTAAATACAATATTCAATGTGTACCTCCAACAAATGTTAATTTTTATTTTTTAATAGGTTGATACAGGTGACCGGGCTGCTCTAGCTAAACTGGTGGAATCTATTAAGAACAACTTTAACGAACGATTTGATGAATTCAAACGTCATTGGGGTGGTGGTGTTTTGGGTGCTAAATCTGCTTGTCGTCTTGCTAAAATTGAAAAAGCGAAAGAAAAGGAACTGGCGCAAAAACAATAAGATTTATGTAAATGACATTCACCTAATAAAACATGAAAAAATTGATATTTTGTATTTACTATTTCGTTTATGATATTTGTTAACCCATAATAATAAACACTAATATTAATCTAAATTTAATTTACAACAGAACTAAACCCTTATTCTTTAAACTGCCCAATTGTATATTTGTATGTACTTCCAGAAGTAGCCTTCTGTACTATAATAATATATGGTTTTTTTCATGGCAGGAATAGAGTTCATTTAAGTATTACACTAGATTTATTAACCATAATTTCTAAGAAAAGTTACTACTGTAGACCTATAAACTAATGGACAGCGCTTTCCACACTGTCCTGCTATTGGTTAATCCAGACGACATTACTGGAGGAGAGAAAAAACATCTTTTAGCACGCTATAGTAACAGACTTAAACCTCTTATCTCTCTATGTTCATATGTTATATTCTATCTAGGTTATAGGTCTATGGTTACGCTGCTTGGATATATTACGGTGTCAATTAATATTTAATGTCTTCTGTATCCATAGGTGAAAAGTACTCATTACTAATAGAATTAAATATGATATTTTATATAATTATAATTGGTTAAATCGGTTACATGAAACCATGATATAAGGATATAATATAAAAACCTCTGCAGGTTATGTACATTGATAAATAGTTTATTATGGATGAGGAAGTACAATTTAAATTCTGAATATTAAACTACCATGGCCACAGATACATTGAAAATATTATAATCACGCATTCACCCCACTGTCATGAATCAAGATATATACAATTCAAATTTATCTTAATTCAAAAATCGTAGATTTGTAACCCATGGATACAAGTTAGTAGAAAGTATAATATATTCATTATTCTTAAATAAGTAGGCTATCTAGGTACAAAAATATGGGTTGCTGCCTTATCGGTAATACTCATATTCTATAATTGACATAAATATTTTAAACTTAATAGACAAATTATTAATTATGGATTAAAGAATTGATTCTAATTCAATCTTATAATTATTATTCTGAAGAAAAATCAGAATATTATTCTATAAAGCATTCAATTGAATTTATTAGCACAGGTGTTTACAGAAAAATTTATATTAGGTATTTACTATTGTCTATTTTGATTTTTGATCGAATTTATTAAAGAACTACGATATTTCATTAGGTAGTGAGTAGTGACATGAAAAAATAAATGTCAACAATATGGTAAATGGTAATATCCTTTGATCATTATAGGTATAGTATGATAATATACGATGTATATGATCTAGGGTAATATATGGTAACTATTAGCTAACGGTTAATATATGGCCACAGAATATGGCTACACTGTAAAATTAATTAGCGCATGCGTAACCCATGAAAAATAGTTGTAATTTTTTTTACAAACCTAATGGGCAATGGCTATTGGCTTTTGTTATTGTTAAATATTGTAGTATTCAATATTGTATAGTATTTTTTTCTTTATGTCTTAATCTTATTTTTTCCATAACAAAAAGTACTATTTAAAAGTATTTATTTTATACTGCTTATAATTAATTGCTTCTAGCAAAAAATAAGCAATTCACCAATAACAACATGGAAGTGAGTTACGAAAACGAAGGTAAGATGTACATCAAGCTTATAATGTCATGTTGTTGGTTGTAAAAATATTCTTACTTTATCACTAAACAATACTATAAAACATGTCTACACGTGCATAACATGAAAATGAGAAATGTATTCCAAACAATCACCCAGGATCGAAAATATAGAGTTAATATTCAACTTTATAAATACCAAATACTCATTATAATATACTAATAAACATTTTACTATTTTAGTAATCTTCTAAAGTTTGTATTGTTATAATATTATAAGACGTAGGTCGTAGAGTATCTATTAGTATTACTATATTGTGTATATTAGTAGAATATAGTTACTTATTGTATGTTCTGTAATTCTATTATGTTTACCGACAATGTTTTTCTCACAATTTTATTTATTTTTTTTTTACATTTCTCAATACCTATCAATATCAAAAAATGTATTTAATTATAAGAAATATTCACCCATTTTAAAAATGTTTACTGTTTTATGCTAATTTGTTATCATTTTGAAGAGTAGCACTAAAAAAAGTGTAGTAGGTACACAAATACACAGTACACGTACATACATGTAGTATTTGAATCAACACTTGAGTCAATGATCTGACTTCAGTGACTTAAATTTCAAAATTGTCGAAAATAATAATGACTATGTCGATTAAACAGTATTCATGTAAACAATTCTATTAAAACAGTGCACCTGATAGTACATCAATGCTTTTTCAGTTGATAGAACTAAAAACTTGAATAATAATTTAATATTCTTTAAGTGAGGTTAGGATTTTAATGAACCTTAAAGATAAAAATATGGTATATGCATTATACGTCGTTTCAAAATTGTAGATTTGTTTTTGCCTCACAGTTGTAGCTAAACATTTCACATGAAATACAAAGGACGGATTTAGGTACTTTCTATAAAGGAATTGCAATAGTACTCATGTCTCATGTTAACATAAAAAAAATTGGATATAAATTGTTTAAATTCAGGACTTGAAGAGAAAAACAGTCTAATTTTGATTAAAAATGGGTAAATATTCTCTGTTTAAAATTGGTTACCTTTTTGATTTAAGCTGTTGATACATTTTTTAAAAATTAATAGTAGCGCAGAACATACAATAGGTTAATCTACTTAATATGTTGTAAATTATGAATGGTTTAATAATTTTATTATTTAAATAGTACTGATATGTTAATGATATGTTGGAGTCTAGGACATAAAGAGCTGATATTAGACAGGATAAGTAAAACTAATTATTTAGTTTTTCATCGCATTAATAAAAAAAAACAATGCACCATTACTATAAAATCAACAATTTCTTCATCTCGTTCAAAATCATGAATTGGCCAACTTATTTTATTAAGTACTTGTAACTTTTGTGTTAAAGATAAATAATTATATTGTATCAAATGATGCTACTACTTATGTTTCATTAAATAAATTACATTTTGTAAACATTTTTGTTTAGGATATGACAATGATTACCAGTCTAAATCTAAAGGAAGTATTTTGACTAGAAAAAACAACACTATGCCAGTATGGGGCAATGAACGTACAATGAATTTAAATACCCTAATTTTAACTAATATTCAATCATCTCATTATTTTAAAGGTAATCATGAAAGATATAATTAATAAATTAAATAGTAAATAATGAAATTGACGCATGCTGTTTTTTTTAATTTTATTTATTAAGATAGTATTAAGATATCTATTGAATACTTTTATACACTGAATATTAAATGTTTTTTTTATTTTAGTAAATTTATATGAATTGAAAACGTACCATGAAGTTATTGATGAAATTTATTATAAAGTACAACATCTTGAGCCATGGGAAAAGGGTAGTCGTAAGACCTCTGGACAGACTGGAATGTGTGGCGGTGTAAGGTTTTAATTTAAATAATTAATATTAATGTTCATCTAATTAAATTTTGTTCTAAATTATTATTTATAATATTAATTAGGTCAGAGGAGTTGGTGCCGGTGGAATAGTATCCACAGCGTTCTGTCTTCTGTATAAACTGTTCACATTGAAATTGACTCGCAAGCAGGTAACTGGGCTAATTACCCATTGCGATTCACCTTATATACGTGCTTTGGGTTTTATGTACATCAGGTAAGATTTTGATCAATTTATCCCAAAGTGTATAGTGGAGGATAATTGTTTCAAGAATAATAACAATTCTGAAAGTATTCCTATCTCCTGTTATGTGTGACACATAATTAATTTCCTATTATGTGGTTTTAAATTAAATAGCTTTTAAATATTCTGTTTTAGGTATACTCAACCCCCTGGTGATTTATGGGATTGGTATGAATCTTTCTTAGACGACGAAGAGGTAAACTTTCTTTAGTTTTAATTTTTTTAGAGTAAATAAGTCAGGTTAATTTATACACATGTTTTCATTCAAAATATACTACTTTATATTATATTAGGAAATGGACGTAAGAGCTGGAGGTGGTCAAACAATGACAATTGGCAATATATTAAAGAGCTTTTTGTTCAAATTAGAATGGTATTCAACACTGTTCCCTAGAATCCCTGTTCCCATTCAGGTAGGTATGTCGGCTAAACACGTTCATATTTATTACTTTTAAATCTTAACTGCATAATAATGAATTTTGTGTAAAATATTAATAAATTATCATTTACATTGTTTTTAGCAACAAATGGAAAAAAAAATGAGTGAAAAGTATCCTCCTGTAGTTGAAGAAACACCAAGAAGAACTAATATACCTGAAAAGAATTTCAGGTAATACAATAAAAAATGTTAATTCTATTTAACTTAAATTAATTATGTAAATAATATTTTAGTAGGGATCGAGATGACCATAGAAATAGAGGAGACTTATCTGACACTGCAAGGCCTCGAGAACGAATTGAACGTAGAGAAAGATCACATAGAGATTATCGCGATAGAGATTATGAACGCAAGCCTACTAATGCAAACTCTCGAGAAAGGTTAGAATAATTTCATTAAATAAATATTTCTATACTAACTTATAAATAATAATTATTATTAAACACAATATATACTAATTACGTAAACCCTTAATGGATAATAAATTTATAATTTAATGATTTTACTATAATAAAAACTTGTTTTTTATTTAAATAAATTTAAAAATGTTTTTAAAACTTGATAAAAGTTAAATGTTTTATATGTGTGTTTGTAAGTTAGTATCGTATTCATTTAATATCTCTGTAAACATGATGTAATACTAAAATTATATTAATTACATGAAAAATATATATATAATAGTTGGAAATGAAGGGTTCAATGGACAAAAATTATTTCATAATTTGTTGAGGGTAATTTAGATTATACTATTACACTAAAAATAACTAAATAGTAAATAATTAAATTTATTAAACTAAATAAATATGTCTTCAATCTTAATGATATAATTTAATTAGGTGTATTAAAATACGATTGTTATTTTTTGTCTTAATTTTAGATCACCTTATGTAAGTCGAAGAGATGAATATAAGAAAAGGTAATGAATATAACTTTTAGTTACCTTATAATAAATTCTAATTAATAATTATTATTTTAGTTCTTCTAGAAGCCCAAAATACGGTAGCAGTAAAAGAAGAGATCGAGATGATTACAAGTAATTTAAAATATTTTTTTTTTAGTTGTTTGTCCTAACAAAATTTAATATATAAATTGGTGTGAGAGAGAAACTATTTCATATTTTATTTATCTTATACATTACAATACTATTTACATTACATTACAGTTACATACTCATGCTTGTAAACTGAAAAAATTTTCCTTTAACCTAGTTTTTGATTAGAAAAAAAAATCATAAAATGAAAGCAGGTGTAGAACTATTCTTATCAACAAAATTATTTCCTTAAATATTAAAGTTTAATTTATATGTTCTAGGTCAAGATCAAAATACTGATGAGGAATTTAAAGTGTAAAATGGATACATTTTTTCACTCCATTAACAAATTAAGTGAATGAAAATCTTAGTTTAAGTTGTACATACATACATACATTAATAAATCACTCAATTTCTGTGTTTTAATTCATTTAAAAATGAAGATAAATAATTTTGAATAATAAAAAAAAAGTGACATGTAATTTGTTTATAAATATTAAAATTATTATTCAAAATATGTTTGATTCCAAGCCATTACATATGTGTTCCTTGATCTAACATGTTTTTCCTTATCTTCTCTCATAATACTTGTTAATGGATATACTTCTTTCTTTTTTATAATTGACGTAATTTTATGCCAAAAACCATTGTTTGTTGTCCTTGCATTTCTATCGTCGTTGCATTTATTATAATCACTTAAGGCATTAAATGCAGTTGTATTATCAAACTCTGGTATCCAATCAACAAATTCAGCTTTAAATATAGTATTCATTACACTTTGGTATACCATATCAGTAACATTTTTACTATACAGGAAATCAACATGGTTGAATTTGTCAAATTCAATGAGATGTAACCCTAATCTGTTTGGTAAATGGGAATACAGCTCCATCACATCCTAGATACAAGACAAGTTAAATATCTAATTAAATTGGTGAAATATGTTGGCACATTAAAAATGTGGAATGATTTATTACTTAATTTAAATATTATGCGTTTTTAATCTGTTTAATTATTAACCAATTTTGAAAAAATACAATTATTTTTTACTTACTGTAGGATCTGCTAGTATATCGTTTTTAGCATAATAAAAGGCGATGGGAACAATTATGTTGCTCAAATTGTATTTTGGTGGATGTGAACAATTATAAACATCAAAGTTTTTTTCTGTTCCATAATCAAATAGTTGAAAGTTTTCTTAAAAAGACATATTTTGAAATTAAATTTTAAATAATTTAAGTCTAGAGTAACTATTATATTTACTTGTAGTGATTTCTTGTGCGAAATGAATTAAAGTTTTCACTGACGTGCCAGCTGGATTGTGACCTAATATTATGGGAAGTAAGGTCTAAAGAAAAAAGATAATTTATTTATAATTTAATATAGGCTTAGACCTATAAACTAGAAAGTTTATGCATCTAGTGACTGAAAGTAGGGCTTGTGGTAAAAATATATCATTATGTCATACATGCAAAATATGTAGTGGGTAAGCAGGCGGGTAAGTGTTACTAACGCACAACATATCGATATATGTGTTATTGTGTTAGCTTAAATATTTTAGTGAATTAATACATTAGCAAAAGTTAAAACTGAGAACCTTATCAGTGTTCACTTATTAATTATTTAAAATACTTTATTTTTTTTTTAGTTTGTACTGACCTAACGAAAATATAAACCACAAGCAAATAGATAATGGTCGAAGTTCGATTGTAAATCAATTTACTCAAATATTAAATACATATATAACAACACAAGTACCTACAACACAACATTGGGATTAATGAAACTGAACTCAAATTTGGCATGTTGCCCATTTTTAAGACTAAGACAACACGTGCGGGTGCGACGCCCTCTTAAAATAATTTTGTAACCAAACATATAAAGGTAGGACAAAATAAAACTGAAAAATGAATTTTTTACGAAAATCAAAAGCTTAAAGTGGTTTAGAGAAAACCTGCATCTACAATGCCGATAAACTGTACACTTCAAAAAACTTAAACTGAGGGCGTACCACTTATACACTGTCGGCATTATACCTAGGACTATCAATTATCAATATTGGTCATTGTAGAGTAAACTGGCTGAGTCCTGGTTAATACTTAATGCACATAGCAGCATAGCGCAAATAGTCCATTTTTTTGAAGGCACTAAAGCTCCCCCTCCGGCCCTCCTATAATATTTTATAAAAATGATATATGCTCATTGCTCAGTACTAAGTTGGTACTGACTTTTGAATTGGCGGGGACTTGGCAGAGCCCTCTTCGGCTCTCCCCCCTAATTTTATTCAAATATTAATGCACCAGGCGCCTACTGGATGTATTCGGGTGTTCAAACACCGGAATAAAAAGTTTAAACAAACATTCGGGTTTCAAAACCGCTATTATTCGTGTTTATATTGGTTAATACGGGTGTTCAGTAGTATGGAAAAAACATAGATTTTGATCCTCCCCCCCCCCCCCCCCCCCCAAAAAAAGAAAAATGATTTATTCAATGACATATTATTATGTTATATACATATATATGATGAAATATAAATTTTTAACACGAATTCACAACATTCGTTTTAGACCAAACTCGTATCACCAAACTTGTTAATGTACAGTAGATACCTACTTAAGATTTTATTGGATTTTATTTTCAAGAAAATTATTACCTATTGAATTTACCTGTGATTGACTGTAAGATTGTCCCTGTTAATTTATTATTAGATATTATTAAACAACTAACTACAGAATAGAAGTTACCACAAGAAATACATTTAAAATGTTATATCACATGAAGAGTTTGTAAAAAACAAAATTATTCGGGTTTCGGGTTAACCCGAATGATTTATTCCGGTTTTGGTTAATACGGGTGTTTTGAAAACATAATCATTCGGGTTATATGGGTTTCAGGTGTTTGATTTTTTTAAGAGCATTTAGGGGTGTTAGGGGCTTTGGTTAATTCGGGTGCAAGGCCCTGCAGCCTACTGCTGTTAAATGTTAATATTTAATCAATTTACCATATCGAATTGAACAGTATCCTCCCCAAACATTTTATAAACAATATACTTTTTACACAACGTTGAATTGATTGCGTTATCTCCACATAAATATTTACTCACTAATTTGCTAGCAGCGTTTTGTGGTAAAAACGCTCCTTTTGAAACCCAATTCGAAGCTTTCTGAAATAAAAAAATTACATAAATAATATGCATTAACTATTTAAGAGTAGGCAGATAACTTGATAAGTAAATTATTATTTTAAAATCGTTTACACGCACTTGTATTTCGTTTGCATACGGAACTAAAGTATTTAAAAAAGAAGTCATGTGATGAACGTAAGCCACCGGAGCTAAACTTATTTGCGCTCGAATTTTATAATTATATTCTGGGCGCATAGAGCACATGACGAAAAACATACAAGATCCCATCGAATGCCCTATGTAGTATAATTGACTTTGGTTCGTAAGTTCTAAGATGTAGTCTATGGTGGCCGGCAAATCGTAGATACCCATTTCGTGAAAACTATAACAAAAAAAAATAGTTAGGTATATATTATATATAAGAAGTATATTACGTATACCTAATACCTCTCACCTATATATCGGCAATATCTATACCTACAACCACAGTGTTGAGGAATAACGTAAGTTCAAGTAGCCTAACGAAATAACTTTTTAAGAGATTTTATGGTAAATAAATTACATTTAATATTATTAGTAATTCAAGTTACTTTTTTTAATAAAATTACCAACTAAATTACTCATTTTTTTTTATAAAACCTACATTTTAAGAACCAATTGATCATTATTCATGAATCATGATATATAATACCTATATAGAGTATAGTTGTATAGTAGGTACCTATGTAAATATATCACTAAGTAAATATATAACAGAGATTTACTGACAGAAATATTTTTGTAATAAATGTTCAACAAAAAAGTTTTGTTTTAAATACCTAACTATAGATAACTAGTAATTTGGAAAATGCATTGTTATATTTTAAAATAGATAATATAAAAAAATAAAGAATAAAATATGTTTATTTAAACAATTATAATTGTTTTTAAATAAACATTTATTTCATATTAAACATTTTATACAATTTAATATTTTTAATTGTCATTATTTAGTCAATGTATGAAGTATAAAAAGTAACTTAAAAGAATTTCATTTAAATTTTGATTGGTAATGGTATATGTAATTTAATAACCATATAAAGTAACTTGGCTACAATAGGTAACTATACCCAAACACCAAACTCGGATTGAGAGGGCAAGGACCTGGGCATACCAAGGTAGATGAGTTGCGCTTTTTCCTTTGCCCTGTTGTTGGATTGCCTACCAGGGTGGCTGAGTTACACTTACTGCAGGGAGTTACATGAAAAGGGTTTTGAAAAGTAATCATTTTTTTAAGAGTTGCCATTTTTTACGGGCAACAAAGTGCAAGGTATCAGCTAGTATATACATATAGTATTTATACGATATTATTACCATTAACAAAATCATACATTTTCTCATAAACATTTTGGCAAACTTCATGTGACCCACACGATACCTCAGGGTCTCATTTCAAGCAACCTGTTTAATAGAAAAATTTACATCCGTCAGTAGTGTCGTAGTTAATAGAGAGTTGTGAGTTTGTAACATACCTATACCTAAGATGCTTATGGACGGACACAGGTCTCTGTAGGTAATTGGGAATGTCCTCGATAAGTAACGATTTTATTTATTTATACGCTAATATATACGTAAATATAATTTAAAATTATAGGGCCTATAGAATAGCTAAATGTTGTGTTTAAAATTTTAGTATTTTAATATATTATGATGTATTTATGAATTTTAGGTACAATGTTTGAGGAGATGCAATAACATTTTTAACGAGTTTAATATAGGGAATTACTTTTATATTTGATATCTATAGGGAGAATTCTGTTCAATCCGAGCTGGAACCTACCTAACACAAGTTGTGTATTAGTGTATTACACAACTGCAATGTGTATATTATAGTAGTATATAATAATAATAAATTTAATATAATAACATAAAACACTAAGTATAAAATAATATACAGTAGGTAGGTACCTATATCCCAGAAGTCCCGTATCACCCTTAGTATCTCCGCGGAAAATCAATATATTTAAATGCAGTTTTTTTACAGTAATAAGTATGGAAATTCTGATTGAATAACATAATATTCAATTTTTTTTCAAAAATTAAAAAATTTTTTAGACAAATAAGTTTTTTAAATTTCCAAGATAGCCATTTTGTAAATCGTATTTTTTAAACAGTTCAAAAAAAAATTAAATTAAAATTGCCCAAATTAGAGCTAATTATTATTTTGAATTTATAAAATATCAGTGTTCTAATTTCTGATTAAAGCATGCATATTTTTTATTCTATGCATAGGTAACAAAACTATTATTGTTAGAAATTCAATATAATAATTAGCTCTAACTTGGGCGATTTTCATTAAATTTTAATATTTTGTTTTTAAACTGTTTTAAAAAATTCGATCAACAAAATTGCTATCTTGGAAATTTAAAATACTTATTTTCCTAAAAAATTTTAAAATTTTTCAAAAAAAAAAATCGAATATTATGCTATTCAATCACAATTTCCATACTGATTACTGTAAAAAACCAGAATTTAAATATATTGATTTACCGCGGAGTACTATAATAGTGATACGGGACTTCTGGGACATATTATACTGTGTATAATTTGGCGCAAAAAAACTGCACATGAGGCGCGAAGGCCCCTAGTTCATTATGTAAGGGGGGAATTGGAGCATGCTTGGTGAATTACCACTGTATTATCTGCCCCACGAAAGAACACACTGTCGTCCCTCAACAAAAACGTGCACGAGTTGGCGAATACCATTTACCAAGTTTATAGCTAACTTAACAGAGAAACATATAACAATGCGTCTCATGTGCATTCGATTTTCTTGATTTCTTCCCCTCTAGTGGGCCGAAGTAATGAGTAGGTATAGGTATAATAATAATATAAATTATGATGTATTATTTGCCTAAAATTCCAAAATTCTTCACTATCTGGACTGAGACTCTTGTGAGAACGAGAATAGGTGTTGCCTCTAGAATTTCCTAACCATACGTCGAATCCATTATCCGCTAGTTGATAAGCTAAAAAAAAAATATAACATAGGTACTTTTTATTTGTATAAAATATAAATAGAGGTACCTATAATACGACAATACAAGACCATTATTTTATTACTTCATTAATTTTCTCAGTTAATCTTAACGATAAATATAAAATACATTTTGAATTTCATGTTCCAACAATTTAAGCAGAATGTTTTTTTGTGTATATAAAAATTAAATTTTGAACCCATAGTCAATGAACAGTTTGATTCTAAAATGCTTATAACTAACTATACTAGTATATTATATATATTTTTTTTTTTTTTTTTTAATTAGTTTTATTACACAATCTGTAAATATATTATTTTTACAATAAGTGTAAGTGTTGTAGATTAATAAAATAAAAATACAAATACAAATAAAGAGAAAAAGACAGATAATTTGAGCGAAGAAACCATCCAGTGATGGTACATCTTGAGTATATTATATAAAATTCAATTTTATGTAGCAGTATTCACTGAAAAATATTCAGCTTTTTTGGAATATGCAATTAAAAAAAGTGGGAACGGAAAAATAAAAAAACCATTAGCCTATAAGTGGCGTTCTCAGGAATTTTCAATTGGTGGGAGGGGGGTAGGATTGTGGATAATTTCTGGAAAAATATGTAAGGGCGCTCAAAAAATAGGCACGTAAAAAACGTCCAGTGGGGTGGGGATGAGGGGTATTTTGTATATTAAGATTTTTAAGATAAAAAAACATTTTAAAATAAGTTACGGTTTTAAAACACGTAAAAATATAAAAATATATTTTAAAAAAAATCATACTTCCATACATTAGGTACGGTACCTAATTAAGAATTTATACCGAGAAAATCACGGATATACTATAGATATATCTTAGTACGTGGAGAAAAGGCACGAACACGACTATAATAAGTCTATACTTAGTGATAAAATAATCACCTTTGACATTGTATAATATTATTTTCCTAAGTTGAAAAACAATACTGAATTTTAAAATTGTTTGTACATAATTAACCAGATTTTATTCAACAATAAATCAATATAATATAATTTATAGGCCCGGATCAAGGCATATTGCATAAGGCATAAGCAGTGTACGAAACCGTAATAATTAATCTAGGACTCACGATCCATATATAACATAATGAATAATATTTTTTTTCACAGAGAATGTTACAAATGTTTACGTTATTAAGTATGGGAGTTTCCGATATATAATCTAATCAACAAGTAATAATTAGTATCCTAAACTCTGTACCTACCTATGTAATTTAATTGAAATTGTTATTATTTCAGTCGGACCACGGTCAACAATAGAGTTAAAATAAAAAAATTTTTTTTTAAAAACACACTTTTCTAAAAAAACAAAAAAATAATGAAAAATTTAAAAGTGTGTGGCGCTCTTACACTTAACATATTATACCACACACTTTTAAATTTTTCATTATTTTTTTGTTTTTTTAGAAAAGTGTGTTTTTAAAAAAAAATTTTTTAATTTTTTATTTTCTACTTTTTAGTTAAAAATTTTTTTTTACGGATTATTGTATTGTCATCAAAAACCAAGGTCTATACCAATTTTCAGAATTTTTCATCTTCAAAAAGTGCCTCAAATCGAGCGCGCAAGATTTGATCACAGACGGACATGAAACCGAACTTAAGAAAAGTGTATAATGAATCCCATGTAGAAATGTACATTTTATTGTTTTAATTTTTGTTCATAGGTAAATAGGTAAAATAGTGTACAACAAGTTTAAAATATTTATATGCTCCGTTTCTCCACAACTAAATAAATTAATTAAATGATTTGTTGCTTCATCGGGTAGTGAAAAATCGTGATTTATGAGTTACGTTTGACCCTTTGACTTGACTCTATCTTTCAATACCTATGCATTATTTAATATTTTTAAATATTTCATCGATTCTAGGATTTATTAGTAGAACCTGTAAAGATTTTACTAACCAACATTACCTTAAAAACATTGTAATTTTCACTGGTACAGTGGAACTTTCTACTCTAGCAAGTCCAGAATATATTTTTATAGTCAGGGCACTATATAATTACACACCCTCTATCAATAACCATATATAATGCCTTCAATAGCCATCCAAAATTGATTCCTTCGCTTTTTATCCTACAAATGTGGTACCAGATATTCACGTCAACCCAGTGGCGCCGAACCCTATATTCAGGTAGGGCGGATGCCCTACCTCATAATATTTAGGTGGTGGGTGGGTGGTTTGGTGGTTCAGTGATTGTGTCAACGAGTTACTTATACATGGACTTATTTTTGTAGCCTACGCCTTTACAGGCAATCTACAGCCTAAATACAGCCTAATTAAAACCATGATAATTAGTTAGTAAATATAGTATGCTAGGTACCTACCACGGTCGTTGTCTATTCAATGATCAGATAAAAAAAAAGCATATCAGTGGAAGATTGCATATACACATAATAGCATAGCATATAATACCTATTACCTAATAGTTAGAACTTAATTTGTGGTAGTGCTAATAATTATCTTGTTAACCTGCAAACCATAGTAAGCATAAAATATTTAAAAGTTATATTTTATAACATAACTAGTGTCTAGTAAGTCAATTTGGAATTATGTATAATATGTTGGTATAATTTTAATCCAAAATAAAAGTATGTATGACGATTACTGATAAGGTTTACCTAATATAAAGGTGGGTAAGTGGATGTCGCTCTGCTGTACAAGTGGGTCACTGTATCAGTGGCGTATTTAGGATTTTGTCATGGGGGGGGGATATGATTTTATCCAGTACTTATCAACTCGAGGGGGGCTCCGCCCCCCTCACCCCCCTAACTTTAAATACTTAAATATAAAACTACAATTTTACTACAATTTTTTTTTATTTTTATTTTACAAAACAAAGTCTAGTTTTCTAGATGTTTTGGACAATTGAAGGGCTCTGTGCAATAACCAGACAGCTCCGTTTTATCATTTTTTCAGGAAGCACATATTTAATGTTTAATATATATTTAAGTGAAGAATAATAAAAATAAAAATTATTTTATATACTTAAAATAGTGATAAAAACTGTGGTACCCTTAATTAAGTTGATACATGAATATTTTTTACACTTTTAGCCACAAATAAGAAATTTTTCTTGGAGTTGTCTTGTTTATTGCTCGGAGTTATTAAATCTTTTTTTTTTTATTTTTTTTATAATGTAAAAATCTTACTAAGAATTAGTTTTTTTTATTTAACTGAGTTAATAATTATCATGTAATTATACTATCAAACAGCATACCGTCAACCAGGCCAACTTGGGGCAGTTTTGAAATTCTATTATAAATAACTTTAAGTCTAATTATTCTACAGTTATTTTCAATATAACATTTTTTTTTAGTTAAGGTTTAATTTATTAATTTCTGTTGCAGTTGAATCATACAAATTATTCTTTCTATGTGTTTTTTTTATTTTTCTGCTTGCCCCATGTTGTACCGAATATCGACAACATGGGGCATTCATGTTTTTCTTATGAAAAATCTATTTTATAATTTACTCAAACCAACTTGGGGCACTATTTTAAATTTTTAAAAAATACTAGATAATTTTCTGAATTTAAAAAATATATTTTGTACCTGGTGAGTGTATATTAACATATACAAAAAAATAAATGATCAGAAAAATTTTTGTATGTTCGTCCACCAATTTTTTTCCGGCATCTACCCATCTGTACATAGTTAAAAATATAAATATACCTAAGTAGTATTTAGACTAAATTTTAGCTAAGTTAGTCTTGTTTAAATTTAATTTAATGATCCTAGGTATAACTTGGACCAGGGTTGAAGAACAATGCCCCAATTTGGACTAAATGAGTTAAACGTAATTTACAGATATGTATGCAGGATTATAATAATTTAGATTATGGAGTAGTAAATTTTACACGCATCCGAACATATGTTTTATTATTGATTTTTATGTAAAGCGTTTCATTCAATGAGTATTAGTGTAAGTTTTTGGACCTTTTCAAAACGATAGATATTAGACACAAAAAGAATTAATAAAAATTAATACTTACGTTTAAAATTTGATGCTGCGACACTTGTAAAATGATTTTAAATATTTCTAAGATAACAACAGAATACTTGTATCACATCAATTAATTGATAAGAGACCGTTATGGAGGTAAAACTAAAAGTTAATATTTTTGCCCCAAGTTAAGCACGCGCCCCAAGTTGGCCCGGTTGACGGTACTTGAGTTTTAAGAAAAAAAAACTAAACCTGTACATGATTTTAAAAATAAACAAAAAAATAGTTATAATTTCTGGACAATAAACAAGATAACTCCAAAAATGATTTATTGTTTTTAGTTTTAACTCTGATAAATATACAAATAAATTTATTAAAATAAGCTTAGTAAGTGTATAGAAGTCATAAGTTTTTCCACTAATAATATTTAGCTATATATAGTTTAAATATATTACTTTATGAATTTTGTTTATTCTTCAGTACTATTTCTACTTTAACCACTTAGTATTATGTTAACTGAAAAATTAAATTGTTATTCATTTAATTTTACATAAAAACTGGCTATCATACCTTAAAGATAGCGATAGGTAATAATATTAGTCATAGTAGAATGTAAACACATTTAACTACATTATAAATGATATGAACATGGTAAAAGATAGTAAAATAAAAATATTAGTAACATGGATATTTTATTTATCAGCTTGATTTTATCAGTCATTACATATAATATCTTACAACAAATAAAATAATAAAAACCAATGAAATATTTATAACAAAACTATTAATTAACTTGATTTTTTATCAATCATAGTTAAACAGTAAAATATTTGAAACAAAACTAATGATCTCCTTGATTCTTAAATTTTATAATAAAAATAATAAATAATATCACTCATAATAATTCAAATTTGAAATCTTAAACAAAATTATACTTCAAAACAATAAAATTAATAAAACAAAACTAATAATCTCCTGATTCTTAAATTTTATAATAAAAATAATAAATAATATCACTCATAATAATTCAAATTTGAAATCTTAAACAAAATGATACTTCAAAACAATAAAATTAATAAAACAAAACTAATAATCATTTTGATTTCTTAATATTCTAAAATATATTTTCTTTAATATTAATATTAAAACTGAGTAACAATTTTTAATACCTAGTCATCTTTATCATTGGATATAGTACCATTGTTATCTTGATTAGAACTGGTTTCTTCAACTAAAGATCTATAGAACCAAATGTATTCAGGTGGAACATACTTTGATGCTAGGCATTGCACATCAACAAACTTGGCAGATTTAATTTCTAATGATCCATTATATAACAATTTAGAAATAGTTGCACATAAAGATTGTATATTATTCTCTACTCCTTTTTTTTTCAAGGATAAATTTTTCTTTACCAGTAGAATGTCCAGAAATACTACAAAATAAGCCAGCAGCTGCTCGAGCGCTCTCCTCAGTCCTCACTCTTTCGACGGCTCCCGGACTATCGTCTAATTTAGATTTAAAAAAAAAAAAAAAAAACTCAACTCAAGCCTTGGGGGGGATCAAACCCAATGATCCCCCCCCGTAAATACGCCACTGCACTGTATAATAGATGCTATTAAATTTGAATTCAATGATACAATATCATTGTATAAGAAAAACGATTCTGAGCGAAGACGGTATGTCAGTCTAGGTTTAAGACAAATTATATACATATCTATGGTATTAAAAAAAAAATTGACCTATAATAAATTCCAAATTAATCATATCACATTACCACAATATCCATTAGGTACTTATAACACGTTATACATAAACATCAATAACAAACCCTGATACTATCATAGATATATAATAGTACACTTTAGAAGTTTCAAGTAGGTACCCACGAATAATATTATATAATCACAACAAAATAACTAGGTTTTTTAATATGTAATTTCGTCCAAATTTGAACATAAAATGATTATAAAAATAAACTGTGATTGTATATTTTTTAGATTTTTCGGTAAGAGAATTAACTACTTACGTGGAATCTTGTTTTAAATTTTCAATCCTTAGCTATAAAAACTGAACATTTTATAATTTATTAATTACGATGATTAATAATTTTCGAGATTTTGAAAAATTCTGTCAAAATTCGATGTTTAAATGCTTATAAAAAAAAATTGTGTCTATGTATTTTTAATATTTTTCAACTGATATTGTAACAATATACCAGGAGCCTTGTATTAAATTTTTACACTTTTTGGCCCAACAGATAAAACTTTATTGATATTCATAGAAAAAAAAAACTAAAAAAATTGAAAAATGAAAATATCCGTAAACAGCTCAAAAAGAGTCAAGAAAAATTTTTACGAATTCTTAACTCAAAATAATTTGCTAATTTTCGTGATTTTTCCATATTTTGTCAATTTTTGAACTTTAAATGATTATAAAAAAAAACTGTGACTAACGATTTTTAATATTTTTCATCTGCCTTTGAAACAATATACTAGGGCCTTCTATTAAATTTTCAAGTTTTTTTAACCAACAAATAACATTTTATTGATATTTCTAAAAAAAAAACTAAAAAAAAATAAAAAATGAAAATGTCCCTAAACAGTTCAAAATAAATCAAAATATTTTGAAAATGTTATCGTGTATAGAAAATGCAAATATAAACAACCAGTGAAAATTTCATGTATCTGCGGTCATTTGTTTTAAAGTTACACCAAAAACCAAATTCAATTTTCTGAAAAATCGATTTTGAGTAAAAATTCCCATTTTTCCTTAATTTTTCTTTTGTTTTTCTTGGCGCTTTTGAAAAGTACTGGGAATTTTAAATTTTGACCTCCTCAATGCACCAACGATATTCACTTTCCAATCGAACAAGATACTGAAGTCGAAAATCGAAGCATTATTTCGACTACTTATCGTATACACACACAAAAATAAAAAAATAAAAACAAATATAAAAACACACATCATTGTAAAATCAATACATTCATCGTTTCACTCAGAATCTAAAAATGTGTTATATAGAGGGAAACTATACTGGTGAATCAAATATTTTTTGTAAACGTCAAATATTATTGGTCAGGGGGTGGTGGTGTCTCATAATTTTGAAAGTTAGCCCTACCTCATTTTTTTGGTTTCGGCGCCACTGCGTCAACCTCATTCACTATGTATCATCCGTTGTTATACACACTAAATATGAGCAGTGTTTCTGTCGGAAGAAATATATAGGTAGGTAGCTGATTTACAATTTTTGTGTAAGTTGGTCAATGGATACATAGGTAGACTCATCAGAATTACTGAATTGTTTAAATGTCCACGTCCCTCAATGCCAAACTTGGTGTTCTAACACTTCTTACATACAAATACTCTGATTAAACTAATCATTATACTAATTATACTCTGAATGCGCCTGTAAATAGAACTATGAAATCAACTAATGACTCCCCCAAATTGATTTATTTAATTTTAACAATATTGATTCTTTTTTTCTTAACTATAAAGCTATTATAAGATTTAATGCGTGAATTATTTTTTATTTAATTCTTTACTCTGTTTAAACTTTAAATGCATTTTGTCATTATAAGATTATATTTAAAACTTGGACAGTATCCCGTTTGAATAAATAAATCAAGAAACACAAATTAAACGTAAAAAAATATATTTTCACAAAGTGCAGTAAAGATGGTGACCAGATTTTTCATAACCTACCTGCACCTGATAGGCCTTAATCCGGGCCTTAATAATATTACCGTATAATAATATATTGTAATTTATATTTTATAGGTATAAACGCGGTCGTATATCTGAATCGAGACTTACCCAGCGCCTTTGAAGGCCCGTTGATTATCCAGTCAGCAGAGCTAGCCACGACTCCATGTTGTAAGAGCACTGGGAATTTTCTGTACTGTTTAGTGTTTTTTCCATGTGGTATCCTATGGACTTCCAATAGATATCCATCTTTAGTATCCACGATATGAGTTTCAGATGGATAGCCGTGGCGTTTAATTATTTTTGGCTATACATTTATAGGTAATCAGTATCATAGCGTTTATTATACACACATCACAAGTACGTGTGGTGTGGTAACAAAAAGTACTCGGAATTTTTTTCCAAATACAATTACAAATTTAAACTTCATCTCCTTCGAAGTATCGTTCTTTGGCATAAACATCACACTTACTACGACCAATTCGTAACTGCAGTTGGAAACATCTTTGATAACCCTGTCTCGTAGAATGGCATGTACCCACATTGGGGGGCAGCCCCACAACACGTTTTCAATTTAGCATTTCATTGGGGGGGGGGCTCTGCCTCACGCCTCCCTTCTACCAACGGGCAATTTATGTTAATGAAATAAATTTTAAAAAAAAAATCATGCATATTTATTTTAATTATTTTTAAATTGCTATAATATCAAAAAGCGTCAAAATAATTTTAAAATATATCCATGCACGTATAGAAATTGTGAAGTATTTACGGTTATTCGTTTATGAATTACAATAAAATATCAAAAATCGATTGAGGAGAAATAGTTAATATAAGGATGAATAGTCTATGTCAAAATAATTTGAACTTCAAACATTTATAAAAAAATTAATGTGGTTTTCCGGTAAACTCTTTTTGTTATAGTTAGAAAAACTTTGAGGACTCTTGTATGCAATTTTTAAATCTTATAAATGTATAAAAAGAAAACATTTTATGAATTTCGAACTCAAAGTATGATTTCTCGTGACTTTTATGACTCGTCAAAATTATATTTTTAAACGTTATTATAAAAAATATTGACTGTTTTTTTAATATTTTTTTAAATTTTATAATGTGAACAAATTATAAGCAACTTTGTGTTTAATTTTCCAACTTTTTTGACAGACTGAAAATGTCGACTTATAAAGTAGAAAAGACTACATAAAATAAAACATTTTGAATCGTTAAAAAAGAAAATATTTTATGATAACAAAAATAAATTGTTTTCAGTTACATTTTACAAAATTGATCTTTACTTCTCTACTTTGAATTATGAATAGTGAACACGCCGAGATAGTTACTCTCAGGACCGTTCCAAAAATATGGTTATCAAAGACGTTTCCAGCAGTTACAAAATATTAGTTGTAGTACCTAAGCAGGTGCGCAACCAGAATTTTTCAAGGGGGGTGCAGTTAGAACATATAGAAAAAATGTTGTCTTATATAGCCCATTATAGGCGTATGGCCCAACGGATGGTCTAGACCTGGAACCCCCTACCCTGGCTGCGCCATGGGTAGTAGGTACACCTAAGCGAGGACGATTTTACGAAGAAGATATCAAAGAAAATGTATTATAAAAGGATATTTAAAACAAAAGGACGTAGCACGTAGATGTAGGTATCCAAAACGTCTCGATTTTGTTGTCATGCTTACCACACTTAACGAAGCGTCTGGAATATACGCGTCGGAGGCGAAGATCGTTGCAATAAATACGTTAAAAAAAATAATGAAATCAAAAAAGGAAATCATAATTTGCGTCGTCGTTATTATGACACTACACAACTATAGGTAGGTAATATATGTAGTAGGTACCTGACTCGTATAATAAACGTGTACGAGTACGACTACCGACCAGAACACACTGACGACGGTCGGCCGACGATTCATCATCGTGTACAAATAATAATAAATGTACGTACGTACACGCCGCTGTTTTTCTGATAATCTAATGACCTTATACCGAGTAGCAATACTACCACAATAGATCGAACAAAAGCCGTACATTCAAAATACGTCTGTCGACAAAAGCCTAAGACAACGCACGGCGTATGTGCGGTAGGTCGACGAAAAAAACAAAAACATTTTTGATTTTTTATACACAATATAATATTATAATACGCATAAGTATATATTGTTATTATTATATGTGAACGGATTTATTTGTAGGTATTTCAATCTATATTATATACGACGCTGATGGGTATTGTTATTATTAAAAAAATGTTTTTCAACAACGAAAAGGTGCTGTGTACGTTTTGTTCGACTAATTACGGGAACACCACTCATAGGCATTATAAAACATCTGCATCCAAGGGGCGCGATCGCCGTCTTTAGAGGCAGTCTTTAGCCCGTACGTATAAGGCCACTGCCACGTGAACACACTTCGTTCCGGATGCGGCATTAACGCCAAATGTCTGCCGTCAAATGAACATATACCGGCTATTCCACCTGTAAATAATAAATGTAATCAATATGGATGCATAAGACAATCGACGAAATACCCGACTGAAGCCACAGTATTATTAAAAAATATATTTTTTTAAGTTTCAACTGTATAGTCAACTAGTAAACAAGAACGCTTAAACTCATATACGTTTTAACCGAATTACCTAAGCCTATGCATGAATAAAAAGTGGATGTCGCTCTGCTGTACAGTAGGTTACAAGTGGGTCACTGTATAATTGATGCTATTAAATTTGAATTCAATGATACAATATCATTGTATAAGAAAAACGATTCTGAGCGAAGACGGTATGTCAGTCTAGGTTAAGACAAATTATATACATATCTATGGTATTAAAAAAAAATTGACCTATAATAAATTCCAAATTAATCATATCACATTATCACAATATCCATTAGGTACTAATAACACGTTATACACCAACAACAAACCCTGATACTATCATATATATATAATAGTACACTTTAGAAGTTTCAAGTAGGTACCAACGAATAATATTATATAATCACAACAAAATAACTAGGTTTTTTAATATGTAATTTCGTCAAAATTTGAACATAAAATGACTATAAAAATAAACTGTGATTGTATATTTTTTAGATTTTTCGGTAAGAGAATTAACTACTTACGTGGAATCTTGTTTTAAATTTTCAATCCTTAGCTATAAAAACTGAACATTTTATAATTTATTAATTACGATGATTAATAATTTTCGAGATTTTGAAAAATTCTGTCAAAATTCGATGTTAAAATGCTTATAAAAAAAAATTGTGCCTATGTATTTTTAATATTTTTCAACTGATATTGTAACAATATATCAGGAGCCTTGTATTAAATTTTTACACTTTTTGGCCCAACAGATAAAACTTAATTAATATTTATAGAAAAAAAAACTAAAAAAATTGAAAACTGAAAATGTCCGTAAACGGCTCAAAAAGAGTCAAAATATTTTCAAAATTGTATGGTGTATAGGAAATGCTAATATAAACATTCAGTGAAATTTTCATGTATCTACAGTAATTCATTTTTTAATTACAACAAAAAAAGGAAATTGCCACATGAGAAATCGAGTGAATATCCAATGTTGTAAAAATTTGAATTTCAAACGCTCATAAAAATTTAATTTGACTTTCCGGTAGAGATTTTTTTATTGATAAAGGTAGACAATCTTATGAGTAATCTTGTATTAGATTTTCAAATCTTAGATTTAAAAAGAAAAATTTTTACGAATTCTTAACTCAAAATAATTTGCTAATTTTCGTGATTTTTCCATATTTTGTCAATTTTTGAACTTTAAATGCTTATAAAAAAAAATTGTGACTAAGGATTTTTAATATTTTTCATCTGCCCTTGAAACAATATATTAGGAGCCTTCTATTAAATTTTCAAGCTTTCGCAACCAACAAATAAAATTTTATTGATATTTCTAGAAAAAAAACTAAAAAAAAACTAAAAATGAAAATGTCCCTAAACTGTTCAAAATAAATCAAAATATTTTGAAAATGTTATCGTGTATAGAAGATGCAAATATAAACAACCAGTGAAAATTGCATGTACCTACGGTCATTTGTTTTAAAGTTACACCAAAAACCAAATTCAATTTTCTGAAAAATCGATTTTGCGTAAAAATTCCCGTTTTTCCTTAATTTTTCTTTTGTTTTTCCCGGCGCTCTTGAAAACTACTGGGAAATTTAAATTTTGACCTCCCCAATGCACCAACGATATTCACTTTCCAATCGAACAAGATACTGAAGTCGAAAATCGAAGCATTATTTCGACTACTTATCGTGTACACAGACACAAAAAAAATAAATATAAAAATAAAAAATAAAATAAAAAAATAAAAAAAAAAACACACATCATTGTAAAATCAATACATTCATCGTTTCACTCAGAATCTAAAAATGAAAGAGTGGAAATCGCTCTACAGTGAGTCACTGAATGGATGTGTTCATCCAAAGAGCCTTGTATAAAATGTTAACACTTTATTTGACCCAACAGATAAAACTTTTTTGATATTCATAGAAAAAATAAATAAATTGAAATATGAAATTGTCCGTAAAAAGCTCAAAACAAATCAAAATATTTTGAAAATTTTATCCAACTATAAGAATTGATGAAATAAATATTCAGTAAAATTTTCATGTATCTACTGATCTATAGTTATTCATTTTTGAATTACAACAAAATAAGAAAATCGCTACATGAGAAATCAAGTGAATATCCAATGTTGTAAAAATTTGAATTTCAAACACTCATAAAAATTTAATTTGAGTTTTTGTAGACATTTTTTTTTTGATAAAGGTAGACAAACTTATGAGGAATCTTGTATTACATTTTCAAATCTTAGATTTAAAAAGAAAATATTTTTATGAATTTCTAACTCAAAATAATTTGCAAATTTTCGTCACTTTTACGTATTTTGTCAATGTTTGAATTTTAAATGCTTCTAAGACACCAAAAGACACCAAAATAAAAAAAATTTTAAAATTTAAAAAAAAATACACATCATTGTAAAATCAATACATTCATCATTTCACTCAGAATCTAAACTTGAAAATTGAAAATGTACGTAAACAGCTCAAAAATATAAGTTAAAATATTTCAAAATTTTATCAAATAAAGAAATTGATAAAATAAACATTTGATATAAGGAGTAAATTTATAATAACTTTAAAAGCTCGTAAAATTTATTTTGATTTTCAGGTATAGTTTTTTTTACGTTCAATGTAGGAAAACTTAAGACTCTTGTATTACATTATCAAAGATAATATAAACAGAACATTTTTTATGAATTTCTAACTCGAAATAATTTGCCAATTTTCGTGATTTTAATAAGTTTTGTCAAAAATAAGCTCCAGATGATCATAAATAAATATTGTGGATTTACAATCAACATTTTTTTTTTATTTCCACTAACAACAATTTATAAGGAACATTGTATTACATTTTCAAGTCTTTTGATCGTGCATAAAATATTTATTGGACAATAATTTTAAAAAAAACTAATAAAATTAGAAGTTTAGAAATTTTTTTTGAACATGGAAATTGTTAATTTAAACATTTAGTGGCATTTTCTTATATCTACGGTAATTTAAGAGTATAACACCAAAAATCCAAATCAATTTTGTGGAAAAACAATTTTGAGTATAAATTTAAGTTTTTCCTTAATTTTTTTTTTGGTTTTTTCCTGCACCTTTGAAAACTATTGGCCATTGGGTATTTTAAATAGTATGCATTTCCAATGCACCAACTAGATTCACTTTCCCAATGATAAAGATACTGAAGTTGAAAATCGAAGCATAATTTCGACTACTTATCGTGTACACAGACACAAAAAAAAAAAAAAATAAAAATCAATAAATCAATAAATAAAAAAAAAACACACATATTCTCGGCACTTCTCAAAATAATTCGAAAAAATTAAAAATTACCGAATAACTGTGATGTTAATAAATAAATGTTAATAATAATGCAAAATCAATTTTTCACAAATTCTTTTTTTTTTGTAATTTTAAAAAATGAATAAATGTAGACGTGAATTTTTCACCAAATTTTTAAACTGGCATTTCCTAGAAATTACATAATTTTCGAAATATTTTGGTATTACTTGGGGAACGAGTATACCTATAATAATTAATTATATATTTAAAATTTTTGAGATACCTACTATTTTTTTTTTGATTTATGTTAAAATTTTATTTGTAACTAAAAATACTTGAAAATGAATAAACAACATTCTTCATAATTTTTTACACCGGAAATCAAAAAAATTCATACCTACTTAGTACAACTTATATATTTTTTATGTAAGTTTTATGTAACTTATTGAAGTTCGAGTTATGACAATATTGGCAAATAATTCACACTTAAAATAACGATTTTTGTTATTTGGTTATAATTCAAATAATAGGAATAACTTCAACATTTCAACATTACCTTTGTCCTTTATCATTAAAAGAAATTTCCAAAATATTTAGAAAAATCTTAGATTCTTACTATTTACTATTTAGTATTTATATAAATGTGTTTTGCTCAGCCAAAAAGTTTGAAAATTCAATACAAGATTTCTCTAAAGTTTTATTTATAGCAATTTTTAGAATATCAAAAATACATACACGCAATTTTTTTAAAAGCAATTTAAAGTTCAAAATTAAACAAAATAGATATTTAAATGAAAAATAATGATTTTAATTAGGTATAGATTACCATACTGCTTGAACAAAGTTTTAAGTTTTCATGATTTTTTAATTTTTTTGTTATTAATGAGTAACCAAATCATGAG